GAAACTTGGGTTAGAACAAACAAAATTCTTATGCAAAAGCAAGATATAAAGGCTTACCCCTCTGCTTACGTTATTATTCGGTTGTTTCGGAGATAATGTGTTACTGAACATTGGCACTTCAGCCTGCCGCTGTTGTTCAGCTTGCTTTCGCCGCTTCTCCCTCCGAAGTGCTATCCGCTTGTTTAAGTAAGAAACGACTGCATACTCGACCAAAGCTGCGAAAACCATAACGAAACTGCAAAGTTACATATTTTCAATCAGAATGCGGTCAAGTAATGAGCTAACTCACCAGAAGTTGAGAAAGACATCCAATCCCTTGATGTAACTAACTTTTGGCATAGAATTCTGCAATAGACAATGTATAAATGGTATCCCCACGGTATTCAAAAACTAGGCTTACATTAGTTGTGGTGATGAGGGTTGTCATTGTGAGCACAGTAGTCACACCAAGGCCGACACGAGCTGGAGATGCTTCACGATTCAACCAAAAGGATACCTGTAAAAAACGGAATCTTTTAAGATAGCAGGTAGTTGCTATTGCCAACTTGATGATGTGTTCAGAATGAGTGCCTTGAAGGACTGCATACTGCTAAAAAAGACCTAATTATTGATAAATCATCGCTAGAGACTGCGATTCATTGTATTTAGGAGAAATCAGAGACTTCTCGTACATATCAATTGCGCAGTCGGATACTGACTCCCAAGGAGATGTTGCTGACAAGAACTAAAGGTAGTGTCAGCTTAAAAAGGCTATGGTGAGTTTCTCAAACCATACGATAATGGGCTGCTATATTGAACAAATGTCCAAGTGTCCATTCCGCTCTACCTACTCTCCCCACTTTTACTCCTTCCACGCAATTTCCCTTTGACCATTTTGACGTAGCAAAGCCCAATTATACGCATACTGTTTGTATACTCTCACATTATACTAGTATTTGCACGTTGTTCATTTTTCGCTTTTTTCGGACATAAAAGGAAAAAGTAGTAAGACCACTTTCCCTGCATGAGTTTTCCCGGACTCATTGTTTATGAATTTCAATGCGATATTAGCTATTAATGTATAAACTATTAAGCTTTGTATGACTTTTCACCTACTTTTCGAAGTTAACTGGCGTCACTTTAGGGTTCGCGACAATCATACTAATATTAGGTTGGCTAAAAAATAATTTCGGTCGTTTTC